AAGATGTTTTCATTTATGCACTTATTTGTACAGTATAAATATTATTTGGATAATGGCATCGCCAAATCAAGCCATGCAAGATGAGATAATAGCAAGTAATTAAATATAATATATAATAATAGTGTATTATATTATATATATTTCATATAACTTTTCTTATTTGTTATGATAAGTGATACAATAAGTAATACTTCAATTACACACATTTGTGCTTTTTGAAGACTGTGGTGACAATAAAATATAGAAGGTGATACGTTAAAATTCATTATGTTTAAAATAAAGTTAGTATCTGATAATATGCAACTTAATACTAACATATTCTGACTGACACGCTGTAACTTTATATCATTACACAAATCTCTCGTACACCTTAGTAATCTATAATAAACTGTATTTTACCACATGGATTACTATTGATGGATCACTAATATGTACAAGAGATTTGTGTAATGATATAAAGTTGTAGTATGCCATTCAGAATGTGTTAAAATACATTAAATTGTATATTATCAGATGCTAACTTTATTTTAAGTGTTATGAATTTTAAAGTATCACTTTTTATATTTTATTGTTATCGCAGCCTTTGAAAAGCACAAACAATATTGAAATATTATATTATTTACTGTATTACTTATAACATACAATTCAGTATGCATAAATTAAACATTATATAAGAATAGTTAAATCATAGACATTTTATACTCTACAGATGAACGTAGACGAAAATATTGGGAGAGACAATAGGAGTGTAAAAGATCTAAAAGAGATCTTATTTTTGAATAAGGAAATAGAAAATGTTAAAAATACACTAGTTTCTTTGGCAGCTTCAGCAAGAGTAGCAGCAGCAGTAGCAGTAGCATCACCACCACCACCACTACTTCCACCACCACCACCGTCACCACCACCGTTACCACCACCACAAATATTACAGCAGTAGCAGAAACAGCATCAGCAGAAACAGTAGCAGCACCAGCAGAAACAGCAGCAGCAAAAGATAATAGTAATTTAATAGAAAGAAAGAAAGTCAATAGAAATAGCAGAAGCAGAGTAAATACTATCCCTAACAGCACAAATGTTCAGAGGATGTCCAGAGTATGTCTTGAGGACATCCTGAGGACGTTTCTTCATTCTCAGAACATCCTTAGGACGTCCATAGGTCAACATGTGGTGTCTGGGATATTTATTTTATATACTGTAGAAAGAAAAGTAAATACTATATATTTATTATATATAATTGTCGTATATATATATATATTCATATATATTATATTATATAATATATATATATTATATAAAATATATATATATATATAAAATTATTTGATATATATATATATATATATATACATATATATACCAAATACCAATACATATACCAAATAATTTGTTCCAAGATCATCCAGATGGCACCGAGCAGGGAGAGGCAGAGGAATAAGAAGTCGAGGTCGAGGTCGTGGAGGTGATATATATAAGTCAAGAGGCAGTATATTAAGACGCGATATATACATACCTAAAGGTGGTAAAATCAATGTTTTATATTTACCAGGTTATATTTACCAGGTATGTCGGTAATTACTTGCCGGTTTTTATAACAGATGTCACTAGCCATAAGTATGCAATGTTATGATTTGATACATATGTCATTTTATTCTACTGACATTAACCTCAAAGCTACACAAGTTACGTTCCGCCAAAATAACAGCGTTATAGATTAATACCCACACGGAACAAAATATTTAATAGATATCTAATGGATATCTACGTATCCATATTATGTCCATATCCACAATGGATATCTACTAGATATCCACTTGATATCCGTATATCCATGTCCACAGAATTTCCACTATTAATATCTATTAGACATCCTCTTGGTATCCATATATCCATGTCCATAGAATATCCACTGTGAATATCTATTAGATATCTACTTCGTATCCATATATTCATGTCCATAGAGTATCCACTGTGGATATCTATTAAATATCCACTTGGTATCCATATATCCATGTCCATAGAGTATTCACTGTGGATATCTATTAGATATCCACTTGGTATCCATATATCCATGTCCATAGAGTATCCATTATGGATATCTATTAGACATCCACTTGGTATCCATATATCCATGTCCATAGAGTAACCACTGTGCACATCTATTAGACATTCACTTGGTATCCATATATCCATGTCCATAGAGTATCCACTGTGGATATCTATTAGACATATACTTCGTATCCATATATCCATCTTCACAGAGTATCCATTGTGGATATCTATTAGACATTCACTTGGTATCCATATATCCATATCTACAGAATATCCATTGTGGATATAAACATCTATTTGATGTCCTTGTAATATTAAGCAAGATACAAATTTCTTTCCATGTACTCATAACGTAATATTACCGTAATATTACGTAATATTAATTTTTGTTATTGTATGGTTCCAATTTTGCATATCTTACCACAAAGGGATACAATTAGATATATTATTATGTGACTGTAGTAAATGAATTTGAAGTCAGCAAGAAATAAAGAATTGTTATTGTGGTAATATCAATAGACGATTTAACATCTTTAAATATCATTTTTAATATGATATTTAGAAGTTATTCATGTAGGAATCAATCAATTGTCGATAATCTATTCTTCGACAATTCACCAAGTGAATACCAATTAGTGAATGATCTATTAAGTATCCATACTGAACAACTATCTATTAACCTCAGTTTACAATAGAGTTTAAGACTTAAGCTTTAAGAAATTGACTAATTCTATTGCATTACCCTTAGGAAAAATTACTTTAAGATGTTAAAATTAACTTAAAGTTACTAATAATTATATAAAGTAACTTATAGTTAATTATAAATTACTTACAGTTAACTATAAATAACTTTTCGTTAATTGGAATCGTAAAGTAATTTTTCCTAAAAGCATTCTTGTAATAGTCAATTATGATTGGTTAATTTCTTAAAGCTTTAATGTAGATGACGTCTTCAACTTTCATTAGATATTAAATCTCTATGAGACATCTAATGAATGTCCATTAAATATTTGGTTCCGTATGGGTATATAGTTGATATCATACTTAATCGAGTCAATACATCTTATATTGATATAAATACAGTACTATATTTATCAGCTGAACAATGACAGGATTTTGACATTATATTTTTCAGATAATGTGAAAAACATTTAAGCGACATCTAATCTTTTATCGATTTTCGCATGATTTTGGCCCATATTCATAATCAGAACATTGATCATAAAACTTTTTTTTAGTATAAGCTCGTGATAAAAGTGAAAAATTTCATTTAATATTTTTTATTGAAATCATTAATGACATTTATTACTTTTACCGAATAATTTAATTTCATATAGAGACTATTCTCCCATATAGATATATTCTCCCCATATAGACCCTATTCTCGAAAAATATTGTGTATACATTTCACGAGTATCACTAGATATCATAATTCTCGACCAATAAATTTGCTACATTCATGAGTGCGATATTTTTCACATATTTTCAAAAATAAGGTCCTTGATATTCTTTATGGATACGTCTACTCGGTCGCGCGACAAACATTTCCGGTGCGCAGGTTCAATTCCCCAGCATTGTGTTCGTTTCCGGTATATCGAACTTCAGAGGTTAATTGTCATTTGTATCACACGTGTGTTGTTTGGTGTCGTTCCTCATCATTCCTTTTTACTTCTCACGAGTTGTTTTCTCCACACATAAGTATTTTTTCTTTAACCTAAATTAACTTTTATAATTACATTTTTGCATACAACACTAATATTTTGTGTTTCATAATCACGTTTTGTGTTTCATGATCACGCAAATTGCATAATATATTTTGATGAATTAGTTCAATTCTTATTTTATGAATGCATACGCCTTATCCTGGACTTTCCATTCAGACTAATTTGACATATATACGTATAATAATCTTATAAATATATACTATTTTATATTAATCACGAATCGAGCCAGTAAAAATATCGTAAAATGTCGTAAAGACGTTCAAAGACGTATAGTTGTTGGACGTCTCTGCGTGGTTTTTCGGACTTTCTCATTGCTTGGGAATATCATTAATATCTTATTATTGTTTTAGAGATTGTTTATTAATAAGTAAAAGAGAATCGTCCATAAATTCAAAAAATCGATAAAAAATACTGCTTTTAAGGAAAAGGTTATTGAAACAGGTTAGAATTAAAAATTACGAAAAACGTAAGTTACATAAAAAAGTAAGATACATAATGTAAGTGTTGTATCTTGTGCAATTGCTAGCTTTTTTTATCCTACCAGTGATTTGAAACACACACATATTACTGAGATGTAAATTGTTATATGTAAATGTTTATAAATTTCACTATAGTTATTATGATAAAACTTGGATTGTTATAGGCGAACTCTTTATATATCTTTAACCCTTAACAATCCCGGTTTTATCATGATAACTACAGTATACAAGATTCAAGAATAGATTTTTGTGTATAACGACTTACATTTCAGTAATATGTCATATAAATGTCAGCAATATAACTCTATTTTGCATCACTTATTGGCTAGACAATCTTGCCTTTGCACAATGTACAAGAATTTTTATCTCACATTATTTTTACTTTCAGTTAGTTAAATATAATGTAATTTATATTTCAGTTGCAGTTTGAAAATAGATACTATTTTTAGCATATATTAAATATTCAACTGTCCCAAAATAGATATTCATGAAATTTTTTTTAACTTGTTTACATGCAAAGATAATAAAATAAAGATAAAGTTATATAAAAATAGCAATTTGCTATTCTTATATATTGTTAACTCAGTGAGTTTGTAAAATCTTTATATACTTGTGTTAGAATATTATATTTACTGGATCATTATGAGTTATATTGAGTTATATAAATATTAAATTATTAAGTATTTATAAATATTGTATTATAAAAATTGCATATATTTAAATTAATCTAAATATTTTATTGCAGCACAGTTTTAGTAATTGGAAAAGTTATATTTATAACGTATGAATATTTTCCACAATTAACCTCATACTTCCACAATTAACTTCATACTTTGGTAAGTATGTTTTTAGAACTTTATTGATGTAATTCAGTGTTGAAAATTAATTGCATATGAATATATCATATTCAATTATTTAATTATTTTATGAAAATAAGAATATTGTGCAAGAAAAATATTTATGATATAATTTTAAAAATATTTATGATAAAATATTAATGATTATTTGACGAAAAATATAATTCTAACACATTTTTTATATGGAGACTTTCCTGAAGCAAAACACTTCATATGCGACCGGCGACTTAGTCGTCAAGCCTGAAGTGGTAGTAGAGGAATAGTTTGCCCGAAATACAATTGCAGTTAATTTGCAGCATTGATATAATTAAATATTGCTGTCTTTTTGTAATGTTATATTCTTCATTATAAAAATGTTATTTTATGTTTTGTATACCTGTCTCGTATGCTTTCATTTTTATCTTTCTATCTTTATGATTGGAATTAATAATAGATTATTTCACTAGCATTTTTCTAATTTTTTGTTGGTTTAATTATCTTGGTTTAATTGTGTTTTCCATACATTCAATATTTCATACATTCAGTATATATAATAATGATATATATATCATTATTATATATATTCATATATATTCTATTATATATATATAATAGAATATATATGAATGTTTTCCTACAGATTTATAATTTAATGATATATTTTAGTTATTTAATTTTCTAAGTTCTGAAGTCTTTGCTTTTTTTATTTTATGCAATATTTTATTACTTCAAATTTTGTATTTGTATTCATTATTGAGAGTTTTAGATCAGTGGTTAGTAAACGATATAATTTTCAGTTGATTTTCGAGAGACTTCTAAACTTGATGCCATTGTCGACGAGGCCGTAGTAAATGAAGAGAGAGAGTGAGAGAGAGGGAGTGAGAGAGAGGGGGAGGGGGATAGGGAGGGATAGAGGGAGGAAGCGAGAGAGAGAGGGTGGGAGAGATGGAGGGTAGAGAAGGAGAGAGTGAGGGAGGGAGGGAGGGAGAGAGAAAGGATGCTCATACTCCATTTTTTGTCTGTTATATGTCTTCTCCCTTGCTATCAGCTACGGTCTCGGTTTACAAAATGACCATCATTGTTCCGCTTTCTGATATTCCTCTTGTCTTGTTCGACGTTCTACAAATCGTTCGAGATTCAAAAGCGTGATCTCTATATATCATGCTATAATTCACAGGTTTTCTTTTATTTTTCTCTTTTTTATGGGCTTCGTAGCACGATATTCGAAGATTGAGCTCCTTTCCTGCGACTTATAGGTAGCTCGTCCAGCGAGAAGATAAGAGGAACATCAAAAAGAGAAAGTTCCTTCTGAAAGTTGATCAAAAGTTGTATTTGCTTGCTGACCTCTGTTTTAGACGAATGTATTTCTTTTCATGTACTATTACAATGCTAAAAGCTATTTGTCTTAAATTAACTTTATTTAACTAGTAAATATAACTTTTTAAATAGAATTTAAAAAGAAATACATTTTTATGAATTATTTTGCTTTTCTAATATCAATATCTTTAAAAGTAAATTCCAGATGTTTGGTAAGCAAACAGTTAAATCATATGTTTATCTTTGCCGTTTCTTTAAAATAAACAAAGACATATGATTTAACTTTGTTTACCAAATAATTAGAACAATTTATAAAATAGTTATTCTAGAAAACAATAATTTTCAAATTATATAGTTTGTTCTTAAACAGACTGACTTTTTCTTATATACTTTCTTATATATTTTCTTATATAACTTTTTCTTATTATATGATATTTTTCCATATAAATTTTTTCTTAAAGCAATTTTGTATATCGATTTAATATAGTTTCGTATTTTCCCTTTTTCTCTTGATTAAATGCAAAGCCGCAAATGTTTTAGTGTAAAAATAGAAATGTTAATAAATGGGTGATACTAAAAAGTATACTTGTATTAAAACTCAAAACATATTTATCGATTTTTTGTTTTAAAATTTGCGATTCTATGCATGCAATTGAATGAGATGAAGAGATCACGAAACTGCATTATGTCGGTATATATTGCTTCATTATTTATCATGAAAATGTAATTTTTTTATAAAAAGTAGAGATAAATAACCAATATAACGTAGAGTAAGAAAATGTTATATTATTTCTAGGATATATATCAACCATGCCAAAACGAAAATTATTATCGCAAATGTCAGAAAGACATTACAGACGATTGAAACGTAATGCACTTAATATTGCAATTATAGAAAGTATAGATGAGCAATCCATAAATGAGCTATCAGTAGATAGTAATACATCAAATGTTACTGCCACTAATGATCATAACTTCGATCAAGCAATAAATGTAACAACAAGGAAAGAACTGTCGCAACACCATGACAATATCACTGATACTTACAATGAAAATACTACATATAATCTTTATTGTAACAGTGATTTTATTTTGAAGCAAAGTAATAATACTTTGAAGGACTCATGTCCAATCGCATCCATTTGTAACGAGAAAAATAATGATTTTACGAATTTGTCTTCTATTCAATTAATTAAGGGCGAGTTAATAAACTGGGCAGTACAATTTCAAATATCACAAACAGCAATTACAGCATTATTACAGATTTTAAGAAAATATAACTTTGACAGCTGTTTACCGAAAAACTGTAAAACGTTATTGAAAACAGCAAGATGTACGAGCATACGGAAAGTTGCTCCAGGAGAGTATTTTCATAATGGCTTAATATCAGGAATAATGGAATTTTTAAGAAATGATCCAGATAATGTTGATACCGTTAAAGTGCAAATTAGTATAGACGGACTACCAATCTCAAACTCTTCTACTAATCAATTGTGGCTTATCTTAGGCTCGATAGCGCCCAACTTTCGTACCATTTTTATTATTGGATGTTATTTTGGTCCCAAGAAACCAGACGACTGTAACGATTTTTTGCGTGATTTTGTGAATGAAGCAAAAAATGTTGTAACTGATGGACTTGATTATGGAGGAAAGCATATATGTATATCCATACATTCTTTAATTGCTGATGCACCTGCAAAGTCTTTTGTAACAGCTACAAAAGGGCATACAGGTTACTTTAGTTGTGCGAAATGTACAACTGAAGGTGAATACATTCTACACAGAATGTGTTTCCCAAATATAAATTGTCCTGAACGGACAAACGACAGCTTTATTAAGCAATCACAAAAAGAACATCATATTGGACAGAGTATATTAATAAATATTCCAAATTTTGGATTAATTAGTCACATCCCGTTGGATTATATGCATTTGGTTTGCATTGGTGTAGTAAAGAAAATGTTGAACTTTTTGTTATCGGGGCCGTTAAATGTACGATTGCCAACACAAGTAATACACAACATTTCGAGGTTGTTAATTGGAATGCGCACATCAATACCTATAGAATTTGTTCGTAAACCACGAGAATTGCATTTCTTAAGTTTATGGAAAGCCACTGAGTTGAGACAATTTCTTTTATATACGGGTCCAATTATTTTAAAGAAGTACATAAATAAAGATGTTTATAGAAATTTTTTAACGCTGCACGTGGCCATTCGGCTACTATGTTCTCCACAGCTTTCTTTCGTTTCTTATGCGGAATCTTTACTAGAACATTTTGTACGGTCATTCACAATCTTATATGGACCGCAGCATATCTCTCACAATGTACATGCGTTAATTCATTTAGTGGATGATGTTCTATCAAATTAAATTTATGTTATTATGATGATGTTAGAAAATTTGGAACATTGGACACATTCAGCGCTTTTCGATATGAAAATTATTTAAGAAAAGTAAAACGGTTTATTAGAAAAGCTGAACGTCCATTGCAACAAATCCACAATCGTTTAACAGAATTGAAACATGGTTTACTATTCAAAGAAGAATGTCGAAAAATAGGTGTATATGGAATACACAATGCAGGACCTATTTTACCCGGGATAAATAGTCCTCAATATTCAATATTTATAACAGCAGATTTTACTTTATCTATTCACAAACCAAATAACTGTTGTGGATTAAATAATGGCTCAATTGTAGCAATAAAGAATATTGCTACAACGACCTCTAATAAACTTTGTATTATTGGTCGAGAATTCCTTAATTTGAGTGACTTCTATACGGAACCGTGCAATTCCTCTTTGTTGGGAATATATAAATCTAACGAATATGGATATTTATCAGTTTGGCCTATAACGTTTGTTACGACGAAATATGTGAAATTTGACCTTTGCAATTCTGCATTTATACTTTTACCATTGTTACATACAGAAAAGATGTAATTTTGTTCTTCATACATCTTGTTAGTAAGTATGTTATGCAAATATATATATCTTTCAGATGTAAGATATTAACTACAAGATGTCTCTTTGTACAAATAAATTTAATTTGATAGAATTTGAAGATGGATTACAAGTGATACCAGATAACTGGATACAAAAGGAAAAAAATGAATGTTTATATCCAAATTATAAAACAGATAAAGATATAGATGCAGCGATTAGAACACGACAAACACCTCAAGATAATTGGTTATTATATCCAATTAAACGAATCTTTGGTACATATGGTAAGTGAATGTAACGCGAATTCTTTGACTCATCTAATAAGGTTGACTTGGAATCGACTAAACTCATATTTCGACTGTACTAATAATTCTGGAATGTGATGAAGCGTAACATATAACGGTCTTGTTATATACTTCATATATTTTGCGATATATCGTTTATTTTTAGATATTTTTAACTAATTGTGATAATAGAATGTTTCTGTTAGTACATTCAATCCACCTTACGAGAAATATAACAGTTTGCACCTTGTTGTACGAAGGTTAACCTTTTTTATTCATTATTGTTTATTTAAAGAAGATGTTTATAAAGATATAATTATATTCTATTTGCAAAGAATGGTTGAGAATTATTATGACATAAATATATTGTACGTTTAGAGTCTTACAATGAAGCACGCAATAAACTAAAAAAGGCTGAGATAGATTCTGATATTACGGATACTGACAAAGCACAAAGAAAAATTAAAGCCAGGAAAGTGATTAGTTCCGATGATGATATTAACGATGATGATGATGATGATGATGATGATCATGAAAACAATTGTCAAACTCGTTTACCATCATATCCAAAAGCGTCTAAGGTTTATAGGAGTAAGTAATATTAAAATTAATTTTATTACACGTGTTTTCAGATATGCGTACAAGTATAAGACCATTAAATATTTGTAGATATTAGAACAAAACATAAAGATATGCAATGTGTGCGCCATTTTAGTCTTTCTCTGATTTCTTACCGATCTCTCCCTCTCTCTCTCATCAGTCTCTCCCTCCTTAAAAAAATTTCTTAAAATCGGAATAAATCCATCGAATCCAGAGCAATTGTCCCGAATAGCATTAAAAAAAATCGAGGATGAGTGAAAAATTCGGATTATACCGGTAAAATTGGGATGCTTAATTATCTCAGAATATCTTAAAATATTTAATTTGCCATTTGTTTCTAATTATTAAATTTTGATCCTAAATTTTATAATTATATATCCGCTATTTTAAATTTTGCTATTTGAATTTCAAATTTGTTATCAGCAATCAAAAAGTTATACGTATTAATTTTCGAAACGATTGGTTCAAATTTACTAAACTTAAATATTTATTGACTGCTATACTGTATTCGCTGCTTTTAATTTTACAATTCTAATTCAGGTTTGTTATTAGCGATCAAACCATAAATACATAGTATCTTAATATTAGATGTATGTACATTTAACTTTTTAATTAAATAGATATTTATCATATACAAAGTATCGAAGAAGCAATGTACTTTTTATACTACATTACAAATTTTTTTTTATATGAACTATTCCTTTTTTTTTTGCAACAGACATACGTTCCAACTAAAAAAATTGTCTTCCTAAATACTATAACAGAGATCACTAAAATACATTGATTCGTTCCAAAATACAGTTCTTTAAATTCTTTTTGGGATACGTCTCATCAAAATGGAAATAGTTAATATTGTTTTTTATTATATATGATCTACATTAAAGTAGAGTGGTCGACTTTTTCAGATACCAAACATGTAGATTCAGGTACCAAAAAGAACATAGTAAACACTATATGTCAAATAATCGATCATCACTAAATGCTTCGACTTCTCATAAATCAATGTTTGCAAAACAAGCAAAACACGATGATATCGATACATGTAATCGAACAATAATGAATGATATTGCCAGCAATCGTATTATTCCTGCAGAAAGTTCTGCCATCATGCGAGAAGATTATGTGGAATTGAAAAATAAAGAATACATTGTAATTAAAAGTAAGAAGAAAATAACTTAATAATAGATTAAAATTAGATAAAATGTCTCAATTGAGAAGCCATCAGACAGCATAAGTCTCCAAAGAGTCTTAGTATTCTTAAGATGGAAAATGTCCTTTAGACATCTTTAAAATGTCCTTTGGAAATTTATGCTATCTGAAAGGGAATATTTAAAAAATTGCATTTTTATAATATATATTAATTTATTTTCTTATATATTACATATATTTATGTCACTAGATTATTTTCAACGTATTGAGAGAATGTTGATAGAAATAAAATTTGACATTAATTGTCTAACTGAACAATATCAACATATAAATAATAAATGTTTCTCAAATGAGGCACAAGAACGTCATAATTCTACACCAACTGATGAATTAAGTGAGTTATCCTTCCCTCTGAAAACTATAGAAGAAGTCGAGTCACTAGAACGCATTCTTACTTCAAACGGAGTAGGAATAAAAGAGCATATGGTGAGTTATGTAAAATATAGTAACATACAGAATATCTGACAGCATTTGTACCAAAGCTAATATATAGTTAAAATAAATCGGGGTTAGTAATAGAATTGGTGCTTTTTTTCAACCACGTTAAATTTTGAAACATTAACAGCGAAAAATTTCTACTGAGCCAGCCTACTAGCTAATTAGCGCACGCGCTGTAATGGAACAAATACTACAAATAGTACGCGCTGTAACATGAGTATAGGAGACTAGCCGCACGAAAAAATTTTCGTTGTTAATATCTTAAAATTTCACGTGGTGATAAAAAAAACTATCATTTCTATTATTAATCCCGATTTATTCTAGCTATATATCAGTTTTGGTACAGACATCCTGTATATACATTCCTTTTATGTATGTTCCTCAAGTAATATGAAAATATTTCAGTTTAACATATTAGCAATGATTGGTGGGACTAGCTATGAAGAAATGTCAAAAAGGATGCTTCTTTATGTTTTTACGAATGAAGTAGCTAGTATGTACAGTTAGGTAGGAGGTAAAGGAAAACGGAAACTTCATAATTTCGAAATAATGAAATTAATGTTTAGTAAGTATAAAGATTTTATAATAAAGAGAGATATTCATTTTTGAATATTAAAATACCTATGGGTGACGAAACTTCTACATAAATAGTTATTCAATTAATATATTAGTAATTAATTTCATTTTTTGACAAATTTAATATTGTTATTCTAGCACAACAAATTTTATGATACCGCGAAAATATTAAGAATTATTTAATAATATGAATATAATATAAATAATAGAAAATTAAACATTAACTGAAACTGTTGCAGAAGTTGTCAGGAAGACATTCCCTAATGTTACCGAAAAGAATTTTGAAATTAAATGCAAAGATTGGTTCCGACACGCGAAACACAGAGCTGAAAACGAAAAATGACGGCAAAGTTCAACAAAGGTTAGTTTTATATGTAACTGCATTTCTCTTAAAATTAAGTAAATGCATACTTTTCTTTTAATTTCTTAAAAAACATAAGCATATGAAATATAGTATATACATAAAACTGAAATGTAATTTGTTTCATTGTTTCAGTAAAGTCGTCAGCTACATTTCTCAACTACAGTTCGCAGCTACAGAATTCTCAGTGTTCAGATTAATTAATCTTTAATATAAAAAATATTTTATGTTATAATGTTAATTGAGAGCCTATGTTTTTATATTAATTATAGATATAGTTGCAACTGTATTTTTGTATTACTACACTACGTTATATATATATATATATTATAACTTGAGATTATAAAAAATAATAATATATATTATAATCAAATAAGATAGCAATAATAATAAACAAATAATAATAATAATGAACAAATAAAATCAATATTTGTATAATTATAATTCATCTTTTTAAAGTAATTTTTTCCAGGTAGCAGGAATTGTAAGACTCATAATTAACATTTATTTCTAAGATCATCTTAAATTTATCCGATGAAATGCGGACTATCTTATTGGTTACAGAACATCTGAGGATATACTCAAGACAGTTTTGGAAATAAGTCTCAATTATGATTACAAGTCTAAGGGATGTCTTTAAACGTTAAACATCTGTGATGAGGATACTGTCAAATATCTTTTGTGTGTGTGTGTGTGTGTGTATTTGAGTAGATGGTCACGCGTGTAACTGAATAATGGTTGTATGCTCGCAATTCATCACTGGCTAGCCTGCTCTTAACGTTACCCGGGGTCAACGACGTGAACGTGGCAGGAATCTGATCCCTGTGTTTATGCGCGCGCGCGCGCGCGTGTGTGTGTGTGTGTATGCACGTGTGTGCGCGCGCGTGTGTGTGTGCATGTATATAAAGCATTATTGCATACAAATTATATTGCAAGTGTTGTTGCAATATTATACCACAATATTATTGCAATGTTTCATTGCAATATTGTTGCAAGCGGACATCTTACCTTTGTTGCAAGCTGCAGCTACATTTAGCAATGTTTTTTGCAATGTTGCAAAACAACGTTGCTACAATGTTACTACAACGGTGCTATGCTATGGTCTTCTACAGAGCATGTTTGCCGCACGAAAATGATTGCCGCACGATAAACGGGAAGCACACACTTTTGCATAACGCATTATGCAAGATGGATAAGTGAATATAACCAATCAGAGTTCTTTGTTTGTATTGTGGAAAGGACCATTTATTTGCTTATGCGTCACGCATAATATAATAACCAATAATATTCATTAAGGCTTTTGGATAATCACTGCAGCCATATTGGATTATGACGTCAGAAGCGCGGAAATGCATGTCAAAAATTCTTGCGATTTACAGCCAAATAAAGAAATATATTATTAAAATGACGCTTGCAATCTGCTCTATATACTTGCAAAATGCTCCGCACGGTCCTCTTTTGCCGAAATAAGTATTATATAACCGCAAAATAAATGCTACAAAATCGACTGATTTCCTGTCAAAATCAGTCGATTTTATAAGTCCGGAGCATTTTGCAAGTATATAGAACAGATTGCAAGTGTCATTTTAATGATATATTTTTTTATTTGGCCGTAAATCGCTGAAATTTTTGACATGTATTTCCTCGCTTCTGACGTCATAATCCAATATGGCTGCACTACCCAGGAGCCTTAATGACAATAATTATCGGAACGTAATTTCGTAATATATACACCGCTCACATACTAACATATTATTTTATTTTAGCACTGTGTGATTTGAAATGTTGCTACAAAATTGCAGATATAATAATGCAAAATATTTTTCTGCAATGTCTCTGCAATGTGCAATGTTGCAATGTTGCAGCAATGTTGCTGCAATTATCTGTGCTGTATGGAAAATATCTATAGATATGAGCTCAAATATTCTTTGAATATCTATTATATATCGAATTGTGGACATTTAGATATTTATGTAATTATATGTCCAATAAATAGTAGATATTCATGGATATTCTCAATACCCATGGATATTCAAATACATATTTAGTAGATATTCATGGATATTCTCAATATCTGTCGAGAATATCTAATGGATATTTCATAGATATTTTTATAAATATCCATTGCACGTCTATTAAATACTTATTAAATATCCATATAAATATTCACTAGATATGATAAGGATATCTAATAGATATTTCCTTAGATATCCTTTGGATATCTGTTAAATATCGAATTGTGGACATTTGGATATCTATGCAATGTACAATGGATATTCAGTAGATATTTGTAGATATTCTCAATATCTATGGATATTCAAATATTTAGTAGATATTCATGGATATTCTTAATATCCGTCGAAAATATCTAATGGATATTTAATAGATATTTTTATAAATATCCACTGGACATCTATTAAATATTTACTAAATATCCATATAAATATCCACTAGATATGATAAAGATATCTAATAGATGTTTCCTTGGATATCTTATGGATATCTGTTAGATATCGAATTGCGGACATTTGGATATCTATGCAACGTACAATAGATATTCAGTAGATATTCATGGATATCCTGAATATCCATCGTGGATATCAAATGAATATCTAATAGATATTATTTTCTGTATGGGTAATTTTTTGAAAATGTCGAGTTTTATGCCTGAAAACGTGCATTTGCGACACGCATTACTTTTCTTGTTTAATCAAAAGAAAAAGCCGCTGAAGTCATCGTTTGCTGGTAGAGACTTACGGTGAGCATGCTCCAACCATAAGAACATGTGAAACGTGGTTTCGACAATTCAAATGTGGTGATTTCAACGTTCAAGACAAAAAACGTCTTGGTAGGCCGAAAACGTTTGAAGATGCGGAATTGCAGGAGTTATTGGATGAAGACCCAACACAAACTCAAAAACAATTGGCAGAAAAGTTGAATGTGAGCCGAGTAGTAATTTGTGAACGATTACAAACGATGGGAAAGATCCAAAAGATAGGAAGATGGGTGCCACATGAATTGAATGACAGGCAATGGAAAATCGAAAAATCGTCAGTGAAATGCTGCTTCAAAGGTATGAAAGAAAGTTATTTCTGCATCGAAATAGTAACGGGTGATGAAAAATGATTTATTTCGAAAATCCCAAGCGAAAAAATCATGGTTATCACCTGGCGAAGGCGGCCCATCGACTGCAAAGCCAAATCGCTTTGGTCGCAAGACCATGCTCTGTGTCTGGTGGGACCAGGTTGGTTCGTATATTATGAACTGTTGAAACCTGGAGAAACAGTTAATACTGATCGCTA